GGGTGTGGGGAATGAGGAGGTTGCTGAAGGGGGTTCGGAATCCCTCTGTAGCAGCAGACTGTCCACGCCCAGCCTCTTCGCACCAGTGCGGGACTTTGGGGTCAGGGAGCTTCCTGGGGCCTCGCTTTCCGCACCTCCCCCCCCCCCCCCCCCCCCACCGACTGCAGGCCCAGCACCTTCAGGGGGAAGTGACTTTCAGCGGCTGTTGCCACCGCTGGGGCTTGACGCAGACCTTTCTGTCCAGCAGCGTCCGGCTTCTTGTCCTGTTTCACTTAAAGTGATTTTATTTGCAGGTGTGCAGGGCCCATTCAGACTGAGCAAGGCCGGTCCCTCAGGGCCCAGCATATGTGAATCAGACTGTCCCGCAGGCCGTGGCAGGAACGGCGCTGAGGCCAGGCGCCCTCGGCGGGCGCACCTGTCTGAGCTCCCCCCTGCTCTAGGTGCTGCCAGGGTGGCTCCATTTCATGCAGCTAGAAAGGCCATGTGAGCTGGTCATGCTAGACTGCCTTCTTTGAAAAAGATTATCTTTGCTGATTCGTCTTCGTTTTGCTCTTTCAAGACCGCATAGCTGTGGGATGAATATGCAGCTGTGAGTTAAATGTAATAAAATTGCTCTAAAAGCAGGAGTGACGCACAGCTGGTCGTCAGGTGCTGTCTCAGGATAAAGGAGTCAGTCCCTCGGAGGAGGATTGCATATTGATGGAGTCGTTTTCTGGAATTGGTAGTCTCTACAAATCCATGATTTTGCCCTTCGTCTAATTTTTCAGCTCTTTATAGAATATTTAATGAAGTGGTATCTGTAGACTTGCAATGGCCTGTCTAGTCCTGCCCAGCCCCTGCACGGTGCCGCTGAGCTAAGGGGCCTGCAAAGCCCTCTTCTCAGCCTCTCTGGGCCCCAGTGGGTGGAGACTGACTGGGGTTCAGGCTGCGTCATGTCTGCCAGCCTCCAGGGGGCCGCCTCGGCTCTGGCCTCTCCCTCTCCCTGGCTCTGCAAAGAATGCATCTGAGAAAGGTGGGGAAAAAGAGATGGTGCCACAGGCAACCCGAGAAGAGGAACAGGGCATGAAGCCATCGCCGAGCCCAGTGCGTCCCTGTTTGTCACTCCAGCGTGCCGGCCTTCAGTCACCACCCACCTCCTTCCATCCGACGACTGGGGGAGAGGGGTCAAGCACTACCTCTGCCCACCCTAAAGCCTGGTGCCCTTCCTCCCACGGCAGGCGTCATGATCTGCCACGTAGACCCCACAGAGATAAAGAAGCAAAGAACTGGACAAGTGGAAGGGGCCCAAGGGAGGCTTTCAAGGAGGAGAAGCTGCATCCAGGTTAGACTGCGTCACTCCTGCTTTTAGAGCAATTTTATTACATTTAACTCACAATTGCATATTCATCCCACAGCTATGCAGTCTTGAAAGAGCAAAACGAAGACGAATCAGCAAAGATAATCTTTTTTAAAGAAGGCAGTCTAGCATGACCAGTTCACATGGCCTTTCTAGCTGCATGAAATGGAGTCGCCCTGGCAGCACCTAGAGCAGGGGGGAGCTCAGAGGGCCTTTGAATTCTGAAGGCTGATGCCCCTCGTAAGGAAGCTGCCTTCACCTCCAGCCAGGGATCTGGCCCAAGTGCTCCTGGACAATAACAGTGGGCTGTGGAGGTGGTGCAGGGCCAGAGCTGCCTGCTGTGTTAGGCTGGGGAGTACACCATCACAGGAGTGGAGGTGAGGCAGCAGGGCTGGGGGGCAGGGTGGGGAGGGGGTGCAGCAAGCCTCGGAAGGCGGCAGCGACCGTTCAGGGGTGGCTTGATTGGTCCCTAGAACGGTTCAGTGGACAGCATGCAGCTACCTTTAAATTCCTTAGGAAGTGGTTCACATTCCACGCAGTGCCTCTCCCAGCTTGTTTAATGTGCTTTCGTGGAAGTGGGAAAAGGGCACAACCCAAGGACCAGCAATACCCAGGGACGTGGCTCAGAGCCAGTGGGAGCGCACGGCACCCGGCTGCAGAGATGGGTGCCAGCTCCACTCGGCCTGAAGGACAAGGGTCTCCCCACCGGGGACTGCGTGGTCTGTCTGTCTTAAGTGCTCAGGATGGCGCCTGGCACGCCATGAACACATGTGCCAACTGCGGCTGCTTCTACAACTACTGTTATTATTTATTACAAGTGTTCAGAAGTACAACTCATGCAGTGTCTTTAATCAGAGGTCGTTTATCAAAGTTTATATGAAAGCTCATATTCCTCAGCTTAGAAAATATAAACTGGAATTCTCCTTCCAGGAGCCCAGCCCGGTTCTCAGAAACACCCGCCGTCTTGGCCAGAAGCCATCTGCTTGCCTTGGGCGCGGCCAGGCCGGAGGCCTCGCGGCCGGGAAATCTGTGATGTGTCCTTGGTTTTCTGTCAAGTGAGGTTCAAGTATTACAATGAAATTGTGTGCTGGTTTTAGATATAAGACCCAGTGGCTTCTGAACCCCCATCCACCCCTCCACGCAGCCACATTTCACACATTTTTTCAAGGTTCAACTCAGATTCATTAGCAATAACTTTGCTAACCCCACACTGCTCACTGAGCATCCCTTTATCTAGATGCCTCAAGGAGTTTTATGATTTCAGCTCTTATATTTAGGTGTTTAATCCATTTCAAGTTTACTTTTGTGTATGGAGTTAGACAGGAATCCAGTTTTATTTTCTTGCATGCATCTGTCCAGTTTTCCCAGCACCAGTTGTTGAAGAGGCTGTCTTTTCTCCTTTGTATACTCACGGCTCCTTTATGGTGTATTAATTGGCCATATGTGTGTGGGTTTATATCTGGGCTCTCTAGTCTGTTCCATTGGTCTATGGGTCTGTTCTTGTGCCAGTACCAAATTGTTTTGCTTACTGTGGCTTTGTAGTAGAGCTTGAAGTCGGGGAATGTAATCCCTCCAGCTTTCTTCTTTTTTCTTAGGATTGCTTTGGCTATTTCGGGTCTTTTGTGGTTCCACATGAATTTTAGGATTCTTTGCTCTAGTTCATTGAGAAATGCCCTTGCTGTTTTGATGGGAATTGCATTGAGTCTAAGACCACTGGGTCTGTCCTACACATTTTAATGCTACAATCTTTTATTGGCAGTACATGAAAAGAGTTCAGAACATGCCTGAATCATTACTCACTACAATGTGTGCTTTCTCTATTCTTAGTCTCACAATACAGTATTTCCCTTTTTTACAAACGAGGTAGTAGAGGCTAATGAATTCCCATGTGACCCCAGACCACCTGGCTATACAGCTAAGAATCACGGTCACCTTCGATGTCTAGTCTTTGCTGTCACCCCACATGGTTAGCCTGTCTTCTCAAATAGATTGGAAACTCCCCAGAGCACCTTGTCTCCCACTGGTTTATGTGTATTTGCTCCCCAGCCCCCATCATTCAGAAGCACCTCAGGACTAGCACAGGAGCTCGGGCACCTGTGGCGGTTCTTCCACTGGGTGACGGTGGCTCTTGGTTGCAAGCTGAGCCACGTTCTCCCAGTCCCTGGTGCACGCTTTCTCCTGGGTCAGCTCCAGTTCTTGCCAGAAGGTAGACCCGGTCCTTTCTTCATGCTGGTGAAGGGTCCCAGCCACTGAGCGGCAGCCTTGCGGCTTGGCAGCCGGCATCAAGAAGAGCTGCTTCCTGGGAACCAGCAGGAATGGGCGGTACAGGTGGAGTAGCCCGAGGCAAGTCCAGCCCCCTTCTCCTTGATGGACCCTCTCCACTCCCAGGCTCCACCTTGCCCGGGCTCCCTGATGAAGACAGGTCTGGCCCCTGAAGGCTCCTAACCACAGACCTGAGGAAGTCAGGTTTACTAGGAAGGGAATCCCTCCTGGTGACATATTTGCATTTTAAAAGGAGGTAATTCCTTAACATCACTGTAAGTCTAGGCAAAGGAAGACATTAAATGATACCATGTGGGAAGCAGGTCAGGGATATAGAAAGGACCCCAGATCTTCTAATCCTGGGCTCAAATCCTGACTCACCCCTCACTAGTTGTGTGGCCCAGCAGCTCCCCTAAACCCCCTTTCCATGTCTGTGAAACAGCACAGTGCCGGGCACAACCAGAGTTAACACCAGGCCAGCTGTGGCCTCTCTCTGTAAGTGTCACTCTAAAGTCTCCACCTCCCAGGGTACCTCCTTCACCACCCCTGGGGAAGACCTACCACACCCGTACATCTGTTGTCATCACATTAAGAACATATTTCATTTTGTATCTTATTTAGTTGTAAAATGTTCTCACCTTGGGACTTTTAGAAACATTTATTGTGAAATACAGCTTATATATAAAAATGTGCATAAAACCCGTATGTACAATTTTGCAAATGGTTATAGAGTCACCCATGTATGTATCTGCTACCCTGGTCAGGAAGGACAAGTGCTGCCATAAAGTGTCACATGTGTATGACACCACGGTTCTCAGCTGGGGCAATTCTGCCCCCAGGGGACGTGTAGCCCTTTGGGGTGCAGTGTCTGGGAGGTGCTGCGGGTGTCTAGTAGCAGAGGCCAAGGCTGCTGCAGATTAGATGGCCCCAGATGTCTCTAGTGCCCAGGCGCGAAAGCCTGCTCAGCAGCAGTCCGAGCAGCCCCTGTGGGCCAGGAACACAGCACTTCCACCGGACGTGAGCTTCCAGGAAAAGACTGGGATGCTCAAGAAACCTGTTAGTGTTAAAACCTAGATTTACTAACACATGGTTAGTAATGCTACCTCACTCAACTGTTCTCCAAAAAAAAAAAGGGGCAGACAAACAATTTCAGATGAAGGATCTGAGGCTAATGGGCTTTGCTAATAGCATCAGTTGGTTTGTGTCATTTCATTGTTGCCAGATGCTTTTAATGTCCTCCGCCGGTTTACACCGATCTTGGGAATCGAATGCTGTACAAGTTAGTAGAAGCCAGGTGTGCTCTGTTTCACTATTAATTAAATTGTGAATGAATTAGTGTTCCCTTCCCAACAACTCGTCACGGCCCCTTCGCACGTGTACCTCTGTCTTTCTTTTACTGCAGGATTTAGTCGTTCGTATTGTTTTTATTCTTGGCAACCTGACGGCAAAAGACAACCAGGCTCGTGAGCAGCTGTCCAGAGAGGAAGGGAGCACCCCGACGCTGCTGGCCCTGTTCCACACCTTCTCCCAGCTGGACATGCACGCGGAGCACCGGGTGGCAGAGGGAGCCGGGCAGGCTGAGGCGCGGAGGCTGCGGGCCCAGGCGGAGGACGTGCTCCTCAAGCTGACCCGCCTGCTGGCCAACCTAGCCATCCACCCGGGCGCTGGCCGCGCCCTGGCCTCCAACCCGCATGTGGTGGGCCTGCTCCTCGCCACGCTAGGTAAGACCCCGCTGCCTGGCCCGGCCCACGGGGTGGGGGCCACTCTGAGGCGGTGCTGGGGCTGGGGCTGCCCAGGGCTCCGTGGTGAACCGGCTCACCCGGCCCGGCCCTGGGGACTCGTAGCTTTGTGAAGGAGCGGTCCGGTTCTGGCCAGAGCTGCTTCAAAAGATTTTTTATAAATAAGGTTTTTTTTTTTTAGAAATAAGAAAAGAAAGGAAAACTAGTAAAACAGATCATTACTAAAACCCACTGAGCTGTACACTTTAAAGGGTGAGTTTTATGGTATGTGAATCAGTTTTTTTAAAAAGTAGCCAAGCTACCCACAAAGAGTTTAAAAATCCTTAATTTTTCCTGGGTTAGTCCACCTGGTTAAAGTTTATCTTTTTTGAATCAGTTTTGCGTTACCTGTGATTACAGGCCCGGTTTCTCAGGTCCCCTCTGCAAAGAGCAGGAGAGCAGAGCCAGACCTCGATTCAGAAGTCTGCTCTGTGACGTCAGGCAGAGCAGTTCACTTCTCTAAGTGCCCCGTTCTCATCTGTAGGACGGCGTGTTAGGAGGCTGGTGTGCACGGAGTCACACCCCTGCAAACTCGTATGTTGAAGCCCTAACCTTCAGTGTGATGGTGTTTGGAGATGGGGCCTTTGGGAGAAAACCAGATTTAGATGAATTCATGAGGGTGGGGCCTTCGTAATGGGATTCGTGCCCTTAGGAGAACAGACACCAGAGAGCTTGGGCTTTCTGCCCAGGCGGGGTCACAGCAGGAAGGCAGCCCCTGTAAGCCAAGAGGCGCTCTCACCAGAACCCAATCCTGCTGGCCGCTGACCCAGACCTGTGGCCTCCAGACGGGACAGACTAAGTCCCTGGTGTGTAAGCTCCGCCTCCTCCACCCCTACCCTTGTCTGGCATTTTGCTGTGCCAGCCTGGGCTGACTGAGACATGTACAAGTTTTCTGTGGGTTTAAGTGCTTGTACAGGCATTTAAGCATTATTACAAATTCACTTTTATGGGGTCAAGTGCATGCAAAGTGCCTGGTGCCACCGTGATGGACGCCTAGTACCTGCAGGTACCCGCTGTCCTGCCCCGAATGCCCGGTGCCGCCCCTGCTGCCCAAACATGGCCCTATGGGAGGTGGTGACACATGCGAATGAGCTAAGGAATTCTCCTACCAAGGCGAGGGAAACAGAGTCCCAACACCGCACAACTGCACGAGATCTGGTGTTGTCCATCTGGGGGTGGGAGAGCCAGGGCTGCAGACTTTGCACCTCTGCCAGGGTTAGACCACCCCCCCAGCCATTCCTGTGAGTGTCCTTCTGCATGGCCCGTCTCTTCATTTAACAAACTCCTGTTTAGCTCCCACAGTGTGCCACGTACTCTTTTAAGCCCTTCAGAAATATTAATGCGTGTAAACTTCGTAATGATTCTGTAACTGGCACAGTTACTGCCCCACTTCACAGCTGAGGAGCCTGCGGTCCCTGCACCGACCTGACTTGGACGAGGCCGCACAGCCTGCAGGCGGGAGACCAGGATTCTGGCTCCAGGGTCACAGCCAAGTCGGCGGTGGGAACACTTCTGGGGCTCCTGGGTCCCTCTCTTACCTTGTCCCCCTCACAGACAGCTGGGATCCTGGCACCGCTCCCCCAGAAACCTGAGGCCAGAAGGACATTTCCTTGTAGAAGCCAAACCAAAGCCCAAGATGATGCGCTTCCTCATTACCGTCCCATATATTTAACCCAAAATACAGGCAATCAGGGCTTCATCTGTTACTCCCTGTCCCCAGGTATGACTTTGAGGGTCCGCCGTGCTGGTGCCTGTGGGTGGGGGGCCCCTGACTGAAGGGCCACAAGACGGGTCCGCAGCAAAGGCCTGAACTTTCCTTTGAGTAGCAAAAGCTAAAAAAGGTCATTCTCTTTAATGAAAAGGAGAAAGAATTAAGTCAGAGAACATTGAAGAGCCAGGACAGCCCTGCTCAGCCTCCTCTGCTCCCAAGGAGCTGGGCTTCCCTGCAGAGGCAGAGGCGGCCTTGGGCAGTGCGGGCTGGGCGGCCCCCGGGGCTGGGGCAGGGCTTCTGGGGCAGCTGTGTAGGGTGAGGGCGAGGGCCCTGCAGGCCCGGGGGCCTGCTGGGTGGAGGTGACGGGCCGCGTGGGCATGGCTGGCCCAGTAAAACCAGACTCACCACTTCACCTCCTCCATCTTTCCAACCCAGATATCCGACCGCCTCGGCCCCGCCAGCTCTGGGCTCCCCAAAGGTGCCTCAAGACACCTGAGGCCGAACTCGGCCCTCCCCCCAGCTGCGCCCCCTTCCCGTGCCCTGAATGCAGAGGGTGGTCCAGGGGCCGGGGCCCCGCCGGGCTATTCCTCTGCCCACCCTGATCTGGTCTTCACCACAACTGCCCGCTTTCCCGCCTAGTCTCCCGGTCTGTCCACTTGGCTCCGCCTCCGCCTGGCCCCCACCCCCACCCCGTTGTCCCGGGGAGACCGCAGGAGCCCCCCGCGGCCCCGCAGCACCCTCTGCACGGTGCCCGTGACCAGGAGCAGAGCTGCAGGCCGCAACGGGGGCGGGGGCAGCGCCCCCAGGTCTCAGTGCCCCCCTGCGGGGTCGCCCGCCCACCCCCTCCCGAGTGCGGCAGCAGGTCCCGAGTCCCGCCTGGGCGCCGACCGTCCGGGGGGCTGGGGATGCAGCACGAATGAGACCCACAGACCCCAGTCCCCGTGGGGCCTCCGGTCCAGGGCTGGAGGGCAAACACCGGCAACGCAGCAGGCCGGGCGGCACGTGCTGCGGAGGAGATGGCGGTGGGGGGCAGGGGAGGGGGGTGGTGCCACCACCGTATGTGGGGTTGAGGCGAGTGTCGGTGAGGTGGCGTCTGGGCACCGGCCGCAGGATGCGGGGCGCGAGCCGAGCGGGTAACTGGCAGGAGGGGGTGTCCGGACAGGGAGCAGCCGCACGCAGGAGGCTCTTCAAACAGCAGGAAGGCGGGCGTGGCGGCGTTTGGGGCCTGGGGGCTGGGGCAGCGACAGAGGCCAGACAGGCCAGCACCGGGGCAGCCCAGGCAGGCGGGCTGACGGCCGAGGGAGACAGGGGTCACCGTGTGGAGGACAGGCTCGCGGGCGGGGTCAGAGGGCAGCGGGCGAGGAGGGGCTCGGCGATGGGCTGTGGTCGGAAGGCAGGGTGACCATGGACAGACCAGGCCCTCGGGGTCCTTCTGCAGGGAGGTGGGGGTGAGGGGACAGGCCCTGAATGGAGCCCCTGGGGGGCCGGCGGGTGGGGCAGGAGGAGCCCCCTGGCCCCCACTTGGCTTCCCCCAGACCGGGGCCCACTGGGCCCAGTCTCTCCGCGTGCCCGGCTGGAGGGACCGAGGCGGTTCTGGAACTCGGCCGGCTGGCGTCCCCCGCCTTGGTGCGGCCCCCTGCGGGCGTCCCGGGACATGGAGCGCAAACTGGCCTCGCGCAGGCCTTCCCCGTGGGCGGCCTGCCCCTGGCCCCCAGCTGCTGTCCTGGCGCCCTGGTTGCGGCCCTGAAGGGGGCCTCCGACACCCCCACCTCAATTCGTTGCAGAGCACAAGTCCGTCGCTGAGTGTGAGGAGCTGGTGGTCAACGCCACAGCGGCCATCAACAACCTGTCCTACTACCGGGTGGAGAGCTCCGGGATTCGGCGCGGGAGGCTGCACCTGGCCGCGCGTGAGGCTCGGGGCGCGTCTGGGCAGCGCGGGGCGCCGCAGGGCGTGGCTGTTAGCAGCTCTGATGGCATGCGTATTTTCTGGTTTCTAGTGCAAATATCTAACAGCCTGACTGGAGTCTAGGAAATCAGAATATGGGGGAAAGTCAGTGTCTTCGTTCTTTTGCTCCAGTCTCTTACAGTTTATGTTGCATCGCCCTTTTTAAGTTATCGTGTTAGTATGACAGTGGTTCCCCGCGGCCTTTACACTGGAACTGAAGCTCCCTGGTCTGTGCCCCCTGCCCGTGAACCCAGTGCTCATGAAGCTGCTCGCCAGTAACAGCCAGGATGGGGTCCTGGAGGCCGTGCGCGTCTTCGGAAACCTCTCCCAGGACCGGGATGTCTGCGGCTTCATCGTGCAGAGACGTGGTGAGTCAACAGCGCTCGTGACCAGAAACACGCGCTTGCCGACCAGCAGCTGAGCCGCGTCAGCGCCCAGCCGTCGCCCGCTGGGACAGCAGCGCTTTCCATGCTGTCCCGCCCCCATGGGGGCCGGCGGCTCGGGGTGCAGCAGGCACGGAGGCAGTGCTGTGCTCCCCTGCCCCTTGTGAGGGGTCTTCCGGCTTCTGACGTAGGACGAGTGTGTGTGCGCGCGCGCGCGCGTGTGTGTGTGTGTGTGTGTGTGTGTGTGCAGGCGCGCACACACGTGCAGTGGAGACGGTCTGTATTCATCACTTCTGCTCATGGGAATGGACTCGAGACACTCTCCTTCCTGTACTGGAGTGTTCTTTACAGTGTTGCTTGTAATAGCACAAAAAATGGAAATAATCTAAATGTCTATCAACAGGTAAGAGGATAAATATGTCTATTCATGTGACCAAATATTCTACAGTAATTAAAATAAATGAAGTAGAGGCTCACGTGCCACACGGGCCCACCTCAAACACATACCGTAGGAGCAAAAAGCTACTGACAGGAGGATATACACAGAATAATGCCACCATGTAAGCTTTAAAACATGCAAAAACAGTCTTGGGTTTGTTATATGATCTATGCAGGTAATGGCGTGAGGTATAAAAGGCATTTGGAAATAATTAAGTCCTCATCTGAGGTGGAAACTATCTTTGGAGGGGAAAGGATGCCCAGATATATACAGATGGGTCTGTAACGTTTCATTTCATGAACTGGTGACAGGTGCACCATGTTCTGTGTGCCCCAGTACCTCGTGTAAGAATAGCAACCAGACATGCCAAGTCACCCTTGGTCGTGGCAGAAACTGAGGTCGTGCGGTGTGTGTGGGTTTAAGGCAGCGCCGCCCATCACTCCCCTCCCCAGCGGTGACGGCTCACGTTTTGGTGCCTATTCTTTAGATTCTTAAACACACAGGGACGTGACGCAGCCTTTGCTTGGCTCACTGCCCACCCGCCCCTGGGGCCCAGCTCTCAGGCATGCAGGAGGGGAGCAGGCAGAGCCCAAGCCATCTCCGTCCTGCCTGGCCTTTGCCCAGCCTGCTGGGGGGACGAAACAGGACAAACAGTCCCAGTTCAGGAAAACAGGGAAGTGGCTCCCAGTGGTGGGCGCCTGTGCCGACCTGAGGCGTCCCTTGCTCTCCAGTCCTGCCTTGCCACAAGCCACACTCAGGGGTCTGAGCTGGTCTCCTACAAGGTCTGGTCCTGGAAGCTTCAGGGAAGACAGCAGAGCCTCCTCCCCACCCCCAGGGCTGTGCAGTTAAAGAAAATTGCCCCTGCAGGTTCAAAAGTGCCCTTGCGAACAACCAGGTGTTAGAGATGAGTGCCGCCTGAATGGCTGGAAGTCTGTGGTTCCCTCGTCTCTGTGGGCAGAGCCTCTACTGCCGCCCTGAGGGAGCTGCTGCCCAGGTCCATATGGCAGTATCTGGGCACAGGGAACCTGGGGGATGGTGGCAAAGCCACTGGGCATTGGGTACAGCCTTAGGAAGGATGGGTTTAAGCCCCTGGCAGGGTTTCCGGCTTTGCATGCCCACTTGCCCTTTGCCATTCGTGAACTAGGACAGCCAGCGCCCTGAGCGTTACCGTCCCGTTCGCCCTCTGCCTTCCCAGTGCACAAGTTCATGATGGCTCTGCTGGACTCTGAGCACCAGGATATTTGCTTTTCTGCGTGTGGTGTGCTCCTAAATCTCACTGTGGATGAAGACAGGCGTGTCATCCTAAAAGAAGAAGGTGGCGTTAAAAAGTAAGTCCTGGGGTCCTCAGTTCTGACTCTCTCAGGATTCAGAGGACAGTTTTCTCAGGCTCTTGTCATTGCTCTGGGAGCACCTAGTGGGGCTAAGGAGATTTAGGTGCTGCTGGACGTTAAGGTAATTCAGAACTGGGTCACTGCTACTTGACAGCTACTTATATTTGTAGATATGAAGTCTTTTTAAATATTCACTGAATTATATGTAATGCATATTAAATATTACAGAAATATTCATCATCATGCTAGAAATATAAAAATTAAAGCGATTCTGACCCAGTACGTCCTCAGCCTGACTCTCATTAACCCAGGCTGGTGGAGTGTCTGAGAGACCGTGGGCCTGCTGACTGGCAGCTGGCCTCCTTGGCCTGCAAGGCCTTATGGAACCTGAGTGAGAGCCTCACTGCTGCGTCGCCGGGTTTTGGAGATGGAGACACCCACAGCCTCTCAATCCTGCTGTCATCATTTTTAGGTAAGCCTCCTGGCTTCAAGCCGAGTTTTATCAGAATGAGAGGTTTTTTTCTGTCGCCCGTGAGGATAAGGATGGGTGTGTGTGTCTGTGGCTGTGGCTGTGTCAGCCACAGGCGCACGGTGAGGAGTATCGTGGCGTGGGACCGTCTGGGAGAGGCTGACCGTGATCTGCAGGGGGCACGCGAGGCGTGGAAGTCACTGGGCACTGTCATGATTTCTTTGGCATTTATTCCTTGCATTTTCTGTAGACTGCATAAATAAAGGATCTCAGCATAAATTATTGCTGTTTTAAAGTGTATAGACATTGTTGTAATTGAGGAAATATGGCTAAAGCCTTCTATGAATTCAGTCATGGTCTTAATGTTTTAATTAGCAGTTTTGTTAATTACCATGTGGGGGAGGGCCTGTGAAATTACTGGACGTCGTGGTGGGGCTCACGTTGTGGTGGGGCTCATGTCCTTGGTCAGCAGGAAATCACTGCTGCAAACCGAAGGAGAGAGGGTAGTTTCTTATGTTAAGAAATTTCTATTCTTAGGATAATTTTTTCCTCCGGCATTAGGTCTAAAAACAATGACTTGGATCGTAAAGGAGGCGAATGTTTTCAATAATCCTTCTCCCAAACTGGAATGTCCCTTCCATTGCCCACTGGGTGGGCTAAGCAGGGCTGTGCGGACAGGCTCCGTGTGACCCAGAAGCAGTGGGTTCAGGTCCTGGGGCTCTTGGCTGTGTCCTCTGACAAGGGGACTGAACACGCTGGTCAAACAAGCGTCCGAGAGCAATGGGAAGGCGAGAGGCTGCCGCGAGCAGTTCGGACTTAAGCGTTTCGCTACTGACACGTTTTCAACCTTGGCCTTCACCTCTCTGAATCTGATTTCTCACCTCTGCTCCGGGGGTACTGGTGTCCGCTCTGCAGGGCTGTTAGGACGATCAGTGAGCAGGCGTGTGCCCGGAGCCTGCGGGGGGCCTGACCCCTCGGTGCTGTGTCGTCAAACAGAAACCCTGGTCAGAAGCGATTTCAAAGAATCAGGTTGCTAGGCGGATGTGAAAGTGAACATAACCTTGTGTGTGTAAGAGTCAGACAAAACGAGCGACACTGTTTAATCACTGGGCTCACTGTCCGCTCTTCGAGCGCTAGGCCTTTGCCGGCTGCTGGCGGCAGGAGTGAATGCTCAGCTCGCCTCAACTGGTTGGTTCTCAGCTGGGGCACAACGGTGGGATCAGGTGCAGAATTAAAACAACAGACCGCAGTTGTCCTGGCCTGTCCTCAGGAACTGGGCCGGGAACTTTGGGGTGAGGCCGGCCATGCACTTTGCAGAAGCCCCACAGGCGAGCATGCGGCGCGCCAGGACTGAGGACTTCCGCGCTGGTTACCGGGGGAGGTTGAGGCGGTCACGGGAAGGTTGCAGCAAGGAGGGGAGGCCAGGAAGTGAGCCTGTGGCCCGAAGCCTGCTGGAGGGGCTCTCAGGGCCTGAGGGTCATGCCACAGGCAGCACATCCCTGAGCGACCCCCTCGGAGGCGGGCATCACCTGCCCCCCCCTGCGGAAGGCCTGGCCCTGTGCCGTCTCGTTGTGGAAACAGCCCTCTCCCTGTCCCTCCTTCCCACCAGGCTTCTCCCTGGAAATGGCCTCAGCCACCTCCAGGCTCCCTGCTGTGCTCAGTGTGCGGCTGTGTCTGTCACAGGCGCACCTCCCTGTGTGTCTCATTGAGGGCATGAGATGGGGGTGCAGGGCTGTAGGGCTGTGGTGCCACCAAGGCAGGCTCTGTGGCTTTCTGTGGCACCCAAGTCTGGAGCAATCAATTATATGTAACAAAACTGGGGGTGTGGGCACAGCAGCCCCCCATCGGGGCCTGCCGCGCCCCCATCAACCTTCCCGTGGGGCCAGGTAGGGCTTCTCCTGGGGCCTCCCAGCCTGTGCGCCCCTGCAGGTGCCGTATCCCCTCCCCACCTATCCAGGGGCTGCCCAGCCTTGCAGGCCCTTCTCAAACAGCCTGACACGCCCATAGCCTAGTCATAGGAAACCTGCCCATCTCAGGTGGCATCAATCAGGAATGCGGTGACTTCCCCTGTGTCACTGGTTTGTGACTCACCTTATTTTCCCACTCAGAGTGAGACACTTTAGGGAAAGGACACTGTCTCCTACAAAGCAGGTCCTCGACAGGTGCCTGGGGACTGGCATCGCAAACATTTCAGAGCACCTTCACTCCGTCCTCGTAAGATCTGCCTGAGCTCACTAGCCGGGTAGCAGGGAGGAAGGTAGGTCCAGGAGGCTTAAGTGACTCGCCTGAGTCATAACGTGGCCGACACAGGACTTCTCATCGGAAAATACCGTCTGGCCATGCATTTCTGTGGCCCCATCGCTGAGGACACCCTTCCTACCCGCCCCGTGGAAGGGCCTGTGGCATTTTTAACAAGAATCAGCGCAGCCAACCAGGGAGTCAGTCGGGTCACCAGTGCAGCGAGCTGCGGCCTGCGGTGGGAGGACGGGCTGCTCCCAGGCGTCTCCCTCCGGGCTGCGGGCCTCCCACCTCGCGTCCGACGGGCTGCAGCCGTGTCGGCCAGCCGAACAAAAGCAGGGGAAATGGCCGCGCGGCTGAGACTGCTCCAATTTCGGATCTTGCACAAAGACAGCTAAGGGACAGGCCGTTTAGAAGACAGGAAGCGCGTTCAGTCACAAAGCCCTGTCGATGTATGAGCGCTGGCTTTGTAAATGATGGCGAGGCAATTGCTAGGGTCATGTAAGTTTTCTTGGTGGGTGACTGGAGGAAAAAGGACGTAATGGTCCCGGGATGGCTGGAATGTCGACGCCTTCCTGGAAATCTGCCTCCTGATGACCTGCAGGTGCTTGTTACAAACACACGGGCAGTTCATGAGCCGCGTGCCTGGCGCTTCTCGCCCGGGAGCCGGCAGCTGGGGATCAGCGCACACATGGTATTATCGTAAACACAGAAAGCACCAGGTCATTTTATGTCCATCATGAGGCACGTGGGGCTGATCCCCTAGGTTATGGGGTAAGGGTAGAGGGGCCGGTGTCCAAGCTAGCGGCTCAAATCATCAAGCCAGTGCCAGAGAGCCGTCAGGGGCTTCTGGGCCTTGTGAGGGCTGTGCCTCACGACGGGGCAGTGCTCAATGCCCGACAGCGAGCCGGTGCTGAACTGCGAGCTGGGAAACAGCACAGGGGACCTAGCAGGTAGGGGACGCTCCTCTGGATGCTGCAGGGTACGTACACTACAAAAGAGACTGTGTTATAATGGTCACTGGCAATTGTATTGTTTTCAGTCTTTTAATCCTTTCTAATACCGTATCTAAAATTCTAGTACTTACAAGTGTGCTGTGCACAAACAAAGCTTACAAATGATGTGTTATCTAAGTCAGGACTTCTCACACTGTGACCAACATCTTGAAAAAATGAAGTAGCAAAGAAAGAAAATATCAGACCATATTATGTGCTGTCAAGATAAGTACACTGTGAAACAGAAGTATTTGTTGTATATAAGTATATAAGGGTATGTATACAGTCATAACACAATATGTATTTCTCAGGCCTGGTCACAGTCAAAAAAGTTTGAAAAAGATCTAAATTTTGCTTGAATTAGCCTCTGCCATTCTTTGCAGTGAGTTTCAAAATGTAATACCTAGTATAAGACGGCACTTCTTATCATTTGCTGTTTACTTTGAGCCTTCGGGCGGCCTTTCTCTTACCGGCAGCTGCCCGGCCTCTGCTGTTGTCTCGTCTAACCAGCCGACAGTTAACAGGGGCCGGCTGCGGATGGACTGGATGGACAGGCCAAGCCTCAAGAGAAGTAACATGGTCTTGACATTAGATTAAAAAACGAAAACACAGAAACAAGAAATTTGCTGAAACCATGAAATCCAGCCAGAGGCCTGGCAGGGGAAGGGGCCGTGAAGGGCCCAGGTGGCCCGTGGTGAGCGGCCTGGGCTGGAGGGTACCCGACAAGAGCACCCATCTGGGGGCAGAAGCTTAGTGCTCAGAACATAGGGAAAAGTGTGAACAGGAAGGTCTGAAACCAGAAAGCGCTCGGAGTCTCGGTCTCCTCGTGTCCAGAAGTAGCCCAACGGGAGGGGCTGTGGACACATCCTGGGGGAGGCCCAGGGCCACGGGGTCTCCGTGCAGTGCCCTGCGGGAGAGCTGGGCTGCCCGGCACAGACCTCGGAGCTGCGCAGCTGCCGCTAGGTTGGCGGGAGGGCGAACTAGGGTTCCTGCCCCCTTTGCTTAGCCGGGTGGTGGCACCCACACGGGTAGTCCAGAGTATACAGGGCGCACACCAGTACTCAGGGTAGGAAATACGATGTGAATAGTAACAAAGTATTTTATAATAGGATTTTAATTGGCCCATTGAAAAAACTTGCAAATTATGCGAGGTAGCGATATCGTGGGGCTTCGTGGCTCCCACCTAGGCAGTCCGCCCCGGCCGCAGGCCTAGGAAGCAGCAGGGCCCCTCTGGCAGGCCGGCGCATCCCCGGAGCCAGCTGTGCCCCTCTCCCGAAAGGTTCCTGGCTCCTTTGGTGTCTGTCGCCTCCTGACGTGATTAACTTTTCCAAAGTGCACGTAAGTATGTGACCTAGTAATGCTTTGTTCGTCCTGAGAAGTTACGGCCCAATTACTGGATGTGGATTCACATAAAAGCACTAGGAGTTAGTTGAAATAAGAGTTTGATTCAATAAAGGATTGTCTGGAGATTACTGTCCTCTTTTAAGAGATAAAAATATCTATTTGAAAATATTTGTAAAGACAGAAGTGAGTAAAGAACTCCCATAAAAAGCCTTTTAACCCCTAAATCCTATCCATGTCATGTTGAAATTCGAGATGACCCAGGAAGAAGTCAACTCATGCCACCAAAAAATCAGCCTTTATTCAATAGGATTACATCTCTAAGTGAGTGCTGTAATTCTGACTTTTCTGAGAACAGACGAAGAACTAGCACTGGATGGCAGTTTTGGCCAAGACCTGAAGAGCTATCACAAGCTCCACTGGGAAACAGAATTCAAACCCGTGGCACAGCAGCTTCTGAGCAGACTCCGGAGCCGCCGCACCTTCCTGGAGCGCCTGCCCAGCCCTGCTCTCTGACGCAGCGCAGACCCACTGCACACACAGGATGTCAGCTCTCCCTTTGTAAGAAGCGGTAACAAATGTGAACATTTTTTCAGTATTAACAAATATTCAGTTTTTCAGGTACTATTTCTAGTGAGTAGGCTAACAATTTTAAGAGAAATAAGCATTTCTTCTTGTTAGATATTATGGAAAAATGAGTAAGCATGTTGTATTTTCTGCTATGAGAAATACAGGATGAAAATATATCCATTGTTTTTCTAAAGAAATGACTTTTCTATTGAACAATTTAGTTCTAGTCTTAAAACCCTAACTTAACAATTCCCGCATTTAAATGCTTCAGCTCAGTAGTTAAGTGAATGGTGCAATGAAGACTGTTAATTTTATAAAGAGTGAGAATAGTGGCCAAAGTTATTAGAAATACATGACTAATAAACACCTGCACTAATTCTTTTATCATCAAATAGCAATTTTCTGGTTAGGTACTAGTACTTTTCTGGTCCTCATATTAAAAGGAGTAAGCAGAAAAAATTGGAGAAGACTGCTGTGGGCCCTCTACTCTTTATTAAATAACTAAAATAGATGTTTTTCTTTTTTTTCATTTGAAATAACTAGACCAGACACTCCTAAGTGTAACTCTCTGTGACTAGGGAGGTAATATAATGGACCAGAAAAAGTGCAGGCTTAGGTGGATGGCAAATCTCAGTTTGAATCCTAGCTCTCCCCTGCTTGGGTCTTGAGCAAGCAACCTAGTGTATTTAGCTTCAGCTGTAAAATGGGAATAATACCTGTTTTATTGTAGTTTAGGAAAAAAAAACATTTAATGGGAAGATTCCCTGGTACAGTGTCTGATACGTAGTAGGTGTGCAATAAATTATAACATTATGATGGTAATTAGTTTATTAGCTTTATTATTCTTTGTAGGATAAATTTGGCCTTAAAATATATGATACAAGCAAAGAAATTGAGATCACTGCTGTTATCCTATACTAGCTAAATGAAGATTTGGAAATAAAAGCAGATTTACTACTCTGCTTGGAGAAAAGCTATTGTTAATGGTTCATCTCTCATCCTGCAAAATACCAAGACTAATGGGAGAAGGCTCCTGAAGACCATAAGAAAAAACCGAAATTTCCAGGAACCAAAAGAATGTCTTAAGGGGCTCTTCTAGTCTGGGGCTCATCCCTGGTCAGGGCTCAGCAACATCCTCTAGGGAGACACTCACCTTCTTACAGTCTCTCATCAAAGTATCTGCTAGTAGATAGGCTGCAACAGACTAAATCACTTTAAGTCTGAGGCTCTAATCTCTCAGAAATGTCTAAGGATCTAAGTCTTTCTTTTTACCTGCAGCAGGCTTATCTTGTACTTTCAGTGAGAAAGATTTAAAAAATTTCCTGCTTAAAACAGCTGCTCAGTATTTACAACAAATGCAGGAACTCACAGGCACCACTGCACCTGTTCTCCCGCACACTGAAGGTCTCCCCCTCAGTCTCTGTGCAAGCTGCAACATTGGGACCACTATCTGCCTTTTTTCTTTAATTGTCGTAAAAAACACATAACATAAAATTCACCTTTCTTAACTATTTTTGAATACATGTTTTAGCGGTGTTAAGTATATTCATTGTTCTGCAACAGATCTCCAGAGCTTTTTCATCTTGCAAAAACTGGAACTCTACATCCATCCAACAGCCCCCCATTCCCTCTCGCCTCCTGCCCCTGGCAGCCGCCATTCTACTTTCTGCTTCTGTGAAGTCGGCTAGTTTAGATATTGCATATAAATGGAACCATATAGTATTTGTCTTTTGTGTGGCTGGTTTTTTTCACTTAGCATACTGTTCTCAAAGTTCATCCATGTTAAAGCGTGTAACATGATTTCCTTCCTTTTTTAAAGCTGAATGATACTTCCTTACATGTATATACCACATTCGGTTTATCCATTCGTCTATCAATAGACACTGGGGCTGCTTCTCCCTCATGGCCGCTGTGAATAGTGCTGTGAACATGGGGGTGTAAATAGATTTTCAAGATCCTGCTTTCAATTCTTTTGGCTACCCAGAAGTGGAATTACTGGATCATACAGTGGTTCTATTTTTAATTTTTTGAGGAACCTCTGTACTGTTTTCCATAGAGGCTTCAGCATTTCACATTACCACCAACAGTGTACAAGAGTTCTGATTTCTTCACATCTTCACCAACAGCTATTTTGGTTTTTTTTTTTATACAGTAATCGTCCTAATGCATATGAAGTGATATTTCATTGTGGTTTTGATTTGTATTTCTCTAATAATTAAAGATGTTGAATATCTTTTTTCTTTTTTGGTCATTTGTCTATCATCTTTGGAGAAGTGTCTATTCAAGTCTTTTGCTGACTTTTTTAGTCAGGCTAATTTGTTTTTGTTGTTGTTTTGTTGCAGGGGTTCTTTATATATGCTGGATATTAACCTCTGATCATATATATGATTCCAAATATTTTTTCCCATTCCTTAGATTGCCTTTTCAGTGTTGATTGTGCCTTTTGATGCACAAAAGTTGAAGTTTGATGTAGTTCTATTTGTCTATTTTTTCTTTTGTCTTTGCTATGTTTTTTGTAACACCAAATAGTTTTCTCATATGAGTTTTATAGTTTTAGTTGTTATATTTAGGTATTTAATCTGTTTTGGTTAATCTTTATATAATATTTGGGGTAAGGGTCTAACTTCTTTTTTTTGGCTTGTGGATATCCAGTTTTCCCAGAAATGTTTGTTGAAGCAACTGTCCTTTCCTCATTGAATGGTCTTGGCACCCTTGTTGGAAGAATATTTGACCATATACATGAGGGAGTATTTGTGGGCTCTCTGTTCTACTCCATTGGTTTATATATGTCTTTATAGTGCAATACTGTTTTGATTACTGCAGCTTTATAATATGTTATCATCAGGTGACACCTGATAACATGTGGTCTTCATGTGAGACCACCAACTTTGTTCTTTTTCAAGATTGTTTTGGCTGTTTGGGGTCCTTTAAGACTCCATATAAATTTTAGGATGGATTTTTCTTTTTCTGCAAACAGTGGCATTTTTTTTTCAGAGATTGCATTGAATCTGTAGATTACTTTAGGTAGTATTGACATCTTAACAATATGAAGTCTTCCAATCCATGAACACAGTATGTCTATTTATTTGTGTATTCTTTAATTTCTTACAGCAGTGTTTTGTAGTTTTTAGGGTACAAGTCTTTCATCTCCAAGGTTAAGTTTATTCTTAGTATTTATTTTCTTTGATGCTTCTGTAAATGGACTTGTTTTCTTAATTTCCTTTTCAGATTGTTCATTTTTAGTGTATAGAATCACAACTGAATTTTTGTTTCTTGCACCTTTGCTGAATTTATTCTAACATGCTGTTTTGTGGAATCTGGAAGGCTTTCTACATGTAAGTCCATGTCATCTTTGAACAGAGATATTCACTGTTTGAATTTGGATGCATTTTTTTATTATTCTTGCCTAGCTGCTCTGGCTAGGACTTTCAGTGCTGTGTTGAACAGGAGTGGGGAGAGGAGGCATCCTTGACCTTAGAGGAAAAGCTTTCAGTCTTTCACTGAGTATATTAGCTATGGGCTTTTCCTATATGGCCTTTGTTACACTGAGGTAGTTTCCTTCTACTCCTAGTTTGTTGAGTGTTTCTTATCATGAAACAGTATTGAATTTAGTCAAGTGCTTTTTATGCACCAGCTGAGATGATGGTGGGTTTTTTTCCTCCTTCATTCTATTAATGCAGTGTATTACATTGATCAGTTTCTCTGTGTTAAACCATCCTTGCATTCCTGGAATAAATCCCATGTCATCCTTTTAATGTGCTGTTGAATTCTCTTTGCTAGTATTTTGTTAAGGATTTTTGCATCAATATTCATAAGCATATTGGTCTGTGGTTTTCTTGTAGTGTGTCTGGCATTGGCAATCATCAGGGTAATACTGGCCTCACAGAATGACTTTGGAAGTGTCCCCTTCTGTTCAATGTTTTGAAAGAGTTAGAGGATTGTTGGTATTAGCTCTTTATTAAATGTTTGGTAGAATTTTGTAATGAAACTGGTCCTGGGATTTTTTGCAGGGTGTTTGATTACTGACTCAATCTCCTTACTAATTATATCTGTTTATATTTTCTATTTCTTTATGATTTAGTCTTGGTAGGTTTTATCCAATTGGCATACAGTTATTCACAAAAGTCTCTTATAATCCTTTTTATTTGTTACATTGTAATGTCCTTTTCATTTCTGATTTTACTTGAGTCTTAAAGTTTATCACTGTTGATTTTTTTCAAAGAACTCTTAGTTTTGTTGACTTTTTTCCAATTGGTTTTCTATTTCCTTCCTTCTGCTAGCTTTGGATTTAGATTGCTCTTTCTCTAATTCCTTAAAGTATAAAGTTAGGTTAAGATCTTTCTTCTTTTTTAATGTAAGGGTTTATATCTATAAACTTCCTTCTTAGCACTGCATCCCATAAATTTTAGTATATTGTATTTTCATCCTAATTGGTCTTGAAATATTTTCTAATTCCTTTTGTGATTTCTTCTTTGATAAACTGGTTGTTTAAGATGCATTGTTTAATCTCCACATACTCGTGGATTTTCCTGTTTTTCTTTCTACTAATTCTAGTTTCACTTCCATTCCATTGTGATCAGAAAAGATACTTTGTATGACTTCAATCTTTTAAGATTTAAGTCTTGTTTTGTGGCCTAACATGTGGTCAAACATGGAGAATATTCCATGTGCAGTTGAAAAGAATGTGTATTTTCCTGCTGTTAGATGGAGAGTGTTCTGTAAATGTCTGATAGGACCAAACGGTGCAACTTTGCAAAGTTGTTCAAATTCTGTTTCTTTATTCCTCTTCTGGTTGTTCTGTCCATTACTGAAAGTGGGGTACTGAACCACCTATTGTGTTGCAATTTATTTCTCTCTTCAGTTCTGTTAATGTTTGCTTCGTATATTTAGGAGCTTTGGTATTTGGTGATAATGTATTTATAATCATTATATCTTCTTGGTGAATTGACCCTTTTGTCTGATATTAGTATAGCTGCCTCTTTTCTCTTTTGGTTACCATTTGCATGGAATATCTTTCTCCATTCTGTCACTTTCAGCCTGTATGTGTCCTTAGATCTAAAGTTAGTCTCTTATAGACAGCATACATTTGGGTCCTCTTTTTAAATTTTATCCATTCAGCCAATCTGTGTCTTTTGGGGAGTTCAATCCATTTACACTTAATGTAATTACTGACAGGGAAGTATTTACGATTTTACTACTGCTATTTTATTAAGTGTTTTCTGTATGTTTTGTAGCTTTTGTCCTTTGTTTCTCCTCTTACCCCTTTTCCTTTGTTTCCTTTTTTTTTTTTTTTTTTTTTT